CGGTGTGGAAGAGTAGACCGAATATTCTGTATGGGGCTTGCAAGAACTCCCCCTCATGGAGGCCTTTCCTCCAGCAGGGTTGAGCAAGAAATTGCAGGGCAGCACCTTTACCATCATCATCATCAACTTTTTTGGGTTGGTAAAATAGGTAACCACGTGGTGAGGCTGTGCAGAAAACAACCAAACACAAAGTCCAGCGCGCTCACCATTGAACGATGGCAGCATGCCGACGATTATTACGTTGATGATGGCATTCATTATGACGTTGATGATGACGTTTTAATGGTGACGATGATGATGACTTCTAGATTTAAAGCTTTCGTGACTGCAAGGATCCATACTCTTTGGTTCTATTCGGTAAAGTCACGTAAAAAAACAATAAAAAATAAAAATTCACGACGTTTCGGCCACAACACCTTCATCATCGGTCCCTTCACCTGATGAAGGCCACTTGTGTTGTGGCCGAAACGTCGTGAATTTTTTTGTTTGTTTTTTACGTGACTTTACCGAATAGAACCAAAGATGATGATGACGCTTTGTTGACGACGTCAATGATGACGTTGCTTATGAAGTTGATTATGACGTTGATGATGACGATGAGGATGATGGTGGTTGTAAAGCTGATGGTGAATAAACTGATACTCTACCCTAGCTGGGATTGCGCACAAGCCAAGCAAGAGCCGTGCCCTGGCAGGCAGCCGGGCAGGCGCCAGCATGAATGATATTTAAAACTCTGATCACGGCGGCGTTTACAATTACGTCTCTTGCCCTCTCAACAACAACAATTACTCTCAAACGCGCCTGCCAAGCGCCACACGTGTCCAGCTCTGAGGGAAGACACTTTAATCACAACAGAGGCCGCTCATGTGGAGCAGAGGTCAGAGACGTTGAGCCGCTGGGAGAGATTTTAGTCGCATATCCGCGGTTGTTACGATTAATTGTAGAGAGTCCATGGTGGTCTTAGCACGATCGCCAATGAATGATGAGACACAGACAAAGGTTCCCCGTATAGCCTTTAACAGATTCTTGGGGCAAGTGCTGTTGGCGAAAGCCTATGAAGTCCGGTACGGAACACGGGGGGGGGGGGGGGGGGTGGACAAACCAGTGGCGATGATCACACATCGCATCGGGTACCAATTTGAGGATGAGTCGATCTCGAGGAGACCCAAAAACGGTTCAGAGAATCGCGACTGGTGTTGGTGGCCGTGAGTAGAAAATCGGACTCGAGTCGCCGGGCTAATTTGCTACACCACCGCTCCTCACCAACGATTGACTCTTAGACTCGCATAGCAAACTAAAGACTCCACTAGACCCACGTAAAAAAACACAAATCCACGTAGCAGCAACACGTCCTTTATTTGCATCCTCTACGATTCACAGTTGAAACGTTTGTATGTGGGTTACGGCCACCATAACGATCTGGGCAAATTGCTGTCGTACGACCCTCCACCACCATACGCGTGCGAGCCGTTTAACACCACGCAAATTGCCATCGTTTCAGCTCGCCGGAGGAGTTGAACAGCTACGAACTCTGACTGTGAGATTTGTCCTTCGACTTGAGCCGGTGGGTGACGCTGCAAGAAACAACGACCGGCGCGTGGCAATTGAACGATGTGGTGTCGCCGTGCGGGGGTGGTGGAATGATGGCGCTACGACACAAACTTGGCCGGATCATTACGACGTGGCTAGACACCCCCCCTATCCCCCACCCCCCTCCCACAAAATAAATACATATCATCCATAATAGAGGTTTCTTTGGGTTAGATCGCGTAAATATATAAATGTGTCGTTACTGGCGAAACGTCGTACTCAGATTGTAAATGTTGTGGCTGGGCTCTCCAACACACCGGTTAGTGCTGTACTCGTGACGAATTGGCCAGTTCTGTTTACGTGACAACTTTTACTAGTTGTCTGTGTCGGGTGGTGGCGGGTTTAACGACACATTTATATATTGACGCAATCTCACCAAAAAAAACCTCTATTTAGGATGATATTGGTCGCGAAAGCCTACGTGTTAAAATAATAAAAAAATATAATGAATCAGAAAGCGAAGACACATTTTGCTTTGACGTGCGCTGGTTAAACACAGCATGCTCGGCTCTGCACTGGAACGTGATGTGTTCAGCTCTGTACGGATGTTGAACTTCATTTTGGCACGGCACGTAGCCAACCGCGCTCATCGGAGGAACAACGATTGCTGTGGCATCTCGCAAGGGCACACTGAAACGGGGGCTTCTCATAGTGCAGACGTCGCCAGCGAGGCCAACCAGCACCCGCAGATATTTAAGGGCGTAATTTTGAGTCTTCTGGTCGGGCTTGGAGTGGGGGGGGGAGTGAAGGGCGAGAGGGAGGGGTGGTGAGGAATGGGGGTGGTGGGGGAGGGGTGGGGGGCGATAACTTGCCCCTGCCACAAACTGAGCGCACTCAATCAAAGAGTGTTGCCGGATATGGTAACAAGATCATCCCAGACTGAGATAAACCCCCGATAATGAATGGCAATATAAGTCATCTTTCTAAAAAAAATACATATAACATTCACATATTTCAAGACAGGTAGCCGCAGGCAATGCTGTCAATATAACATCGCCATCGTTCCCTTCCTTCTGCCATATCCAGAGCACTATAATTACAACCACAGACACAACTACCACCAGCAGGAGAAGTACCATCACTACCCAAGAAAAAAAGATCACCCGTATAGCCTTCACAGGCTGTTGGAGCAAGTGCTGTAGGCGAGTAGCACCTGTGGCACACGAGGGATTGGCCGGTAAAAACCACGCCCGTACGCCTTTGTATCCCAAGTGGCGATGTTTACTACACACCGCATCAGGTACTCATTTGAGGTCGAGTCGATAAAGGGGGGGGGGGTGGCCAGAACCGGTTCAAATAATCGTCACCGGCGTTAGCCCGTGAGTGGTAATCGAATTCGGCCCTCTGCCGCGCTAACCGCTGCGCCACCGCTCCCCGCTCGAGTAATGACCGCCACTTTACAGGAGGCGCGAGCACCGGCGGACAAGCAGCAAGGCGGGGGCAATCGCAGCCCAAAACCCCCACGCGTCATTCGCCGGGTTGCCGGTGACGGCGCGAGAGAGATGGGCACGCGCTCGCACAGAGCGCGGACGCGTCCCAGGCGCGCGCGGTGAGGCCACGGCGCCTCTGGCTCGGTGTTCTTCACGCGCTTTCAGAGGTGGGGGGGGGACGGGTGAAGCACTTTCACCGATAAGATATCACCAGTGTGATGAAGGCCGCCGCCACACCATTTGAAAACCATTGGGGGTTTGACAGCGGCACGATGATGATGATGATGGGAGGAGATGGGAGGTGGTCACACGTGCTGTGTATCGTCAGGAGCCGCACTAAAGACCACCAGGTGCCGCCAGTGACCCGCGGGCCTTAAACTAAGGGGCCGTCCATAAATGACGTCACGCGATTTTGGACGAATTTTGACCCCCCCCCCTTCGTCACACGGCGTCACAAAAAGTCAGACCCCCCCCCCCTCAAGTATGACGTCAGAAAGCTCTGCCCCCCCCAAATTTTTTTTATAAAACATGCTTCAAATCGCTTTGAACTATTGTCATTGTAGTGCGTATTTAATGTGGCGCTGCACTCTGATGTTGGAGAAAACATTTATTAAAAAGTATATTTGATTAAGTAGAACGTGTTGTCTATATTAATTTCAAGTTGCGCATTTTAATGTGACGTCATATTTCTCTGGTGCGTGACGTCATTTATGGACGGCCCCTAAACGATTCGCTATTTTTTTTATTTCACAAGGTAAGGCCCACAGAGCTGCGTAGCTCTTTTTCGGAAGCTACCGGGCCACAATTGAGCGACCAACGAAGTGGCTTGTCGCGTGGACGTGTAGTGTAGCCAAACGCGTGGTGATGTCGCCTCTAAATGTGGAGGGAACAACCAGACGACCCGGAGAAGAATCAACGCGACCACGGGGAGAGAGGAGAGGTGACACGGACCGAACTCACGACCTCCTGTATACGAGGCGAGGTAGTTAACATCTCCCAGCCACCGTGATAATGATGAGAGAGAGAGACACACAAACTCCAAATATACAGCAGGCGTCAGGGTCGGGATCGAACCCACGACCTCTTGCATACCAGGCGAGGGAGTTCACATTTCGCCACTGCGGAACCCCAATAGTGATTTGTTTTCATCTTCTGTACTATGCCCCGCTATCGTGTTTTCGTATGGTTTGTTGTTATAACGTTCTGACCCACCCTACTGGACATCTGTGAAAAATAGCTTCATCAGCTTATCGGATTCCTCCAGTAGAAATACATATTCTGATTCTGAGATCGGTCCGGCTAGGCGACACACCACATCCACCATTACATCTTGCTGTGGCTGTGGCTACTAATCACATATGCCAGCTACTCATGCAAGTCGTAACCGGGCACCCGGGCCGGATATTATTGGGTGAGGGAGTAAACCCCAGCCACACCCCCTCGACACGATATTGCAATGGGGCAACCCCCTAAACCCCCCCCCACTCCAAGGATTTCCCTCCGTCAATGACGTCATCTCAGAAGAAGGCTGCCCCGCGAAAGAAGTCTCGGTCGGTATGGGACCGGCGGTGCCGGAGAGAGAGCGCCAGAGAGAGCGAGAGAGCGAGAAATGGAAAACAGGGGGAACATAGACACAGAGTAGGGATAGAGCGGGTAGAGAGAGAGGGGGTAGAGAGAGGGGGTAGAGAGAGAGGGAAGGGGTAAAAGAAGGAGAGCAGAGCGTGAAATCTTTCGTGAAATCTTTCGTTTAAAAGGGGGGGGGGGGTGGGGGGCACATAAAGCAAAGCATTGAACAAAAACACAAAAAAACGAAATGATGAACGAAGCAAAGTGCCGACTATACCGAGCATCTTCTTGTTTCCTCTGATCGTAAAAAACGAGAGAGAGAGAGAGCGAGAGGTTAGAGAGAGCGAGAGAGATCGAGAGAGAGAGAGAGAGCGTTATACGAGCCTCCTTTAAAGACTAAAATCTCCACCTCTCCTCCCACACGCACGCCCATTCCCTCCCTTCTCCATCCTCCCTCCTGCGCGATCCAGAGCAGCAATGCAGCTCCTTCCCTCCCCCAGGATCGTGACATAAGCAGGAGAGGCAGGACTGCAGAGGCAATAATGATCGTACATCAGACGGCGAGGCGGCGAGGAAGGCTGACCTAACCACCTTCCTGTCTCTCTCCGCCTTGCTTGGAAGGTAACGCGATTTTTGGGGTTCTCCTCAACACCCCCCCCTCCCCCCCAGCGAACCAGCCAGAGTTGACACGTTTTAATTTGTTTGATGCGCTTCGAACTTCATCATCTTGATCATCGTAATCATTTTCACTTTCTGTTTGTTGTTGTTGTTGTTGTCGATAAGTGTGTTTGCGGGGAGGATTTTGCGTGGTGGTGGTGTTTGTTTAAATTGGCTCCGTCTCGCTCGCTCGCTCGGTTTGTGAGTGAGTTGGTCCAGTGTCAGCCTAAGAAGGTTGCCACCTTCGTAGGTGTCGATGTCCCCGTGGGTTTTTTAGTTTTGTTTGGCCTCACCCTGGTGGTGGTGTCGTTTGTTTCAAGCGGCCTCTCGCTTCGCCACCCCCAAGTTCAGATTTCACGAGCAAATAACAAATCCGTGACCGATTGTTACCTGGCTATAGCAACAACAGCGGCAACAGCAGCAGCACGACTAAATTTATCACTGAATTTTTTCTTCAGTCGCCGTTTCAACTCGAGAAGGAGTCGGCACGCGTCTCGCACAGCCACAGACATTTTGCGAGATGTATACTGGATGTGGCGAGCCGGGTGAGTTAATACAATGTCCAGGTCGTTCTCCCGGTGGAAGTGAAGCCCTTCACCACCCCCCCCCCCTCCAATCAATGATAGATTATGATTATTATGATGTAGCATAATTCGCCGATGCTATATTTATTTTGTACAGTGACTTCTCTGATGCATTCAGGGTAAATGTAACAGAGGTAATTTACACGAATATTTTTAGACGCGGAATTTCAATACACCGGTGTCAACGTGACACATGTTTTACTGATTGGCCGCGCCGGGTTGTGTGGGGTTGTGGACACATTTATAAATAACGCGATCTAACCCAAAACCCTTTATTATGGACAGAATTTCACGTTGGAAGTTATTTTTTTCGTATATATATTCTGAAAAGGGTTGTATAGGCCGATGCATGTATTTTTTTTCATTTGTATTTTATTTTAAAACAAGCAGGAGGGGATGCTGTGTAATTGTTGCCCGCACACTGGAGGTCGTCGATTCGATACCATCTCTCGGCGTAGCAGTCTGAAACAATAACGGTGCGAGTTTGTTACGTATGTGCGTATGTTGAACTTCTTTCGCATCGTACGTAGCCAACCGTGCTAAGCGGATGTGCGGGCGAAGGACAACAAACTAAACACGAAAATCAGTTCTAAAGAAATGAGTTTTCAATCTTGATTATTTTAAAGTGCATCGCTCCAGCAGCTTCCTAATATCGGAAGGTAGAGCGTTCCAGACGGCCGCAGAAGCTCATCTGAAAATCCCCACACCCACCTCTGTCAACTCAGCAGTATGTATCCCGGATTGGTACTGTACACCGCAGTTGATCGATCGGCAGCTCGCGTGTGATGGGGTAAAGTGTGGGTAGCGGTGCACGTGTGAAAGTGTGGGTAGCGGGCCACGTGTGAGAGTGTGGGTAGCGGGCCACGTGTGAAAGTGTGGGTAGCGGGGCACGTGTGAGAGTGTGGGTAGCGGGGCACGTGTGAGAGCGTGGGTAGCGGGGCACGTGTGAGAGTGTGGGTAGCGGGGCACGTGTGAAAGTGTGGGTAGCGGGCCACGTGTGAGAGCGTGGGTAGCGGGCCACGTGTGAGAGTGTGGGTAGCGGGCCACGTGTGAAAGTGTGGGTAGCGGGCCACGTGTGAGAGCGTGGGTAGCGGGGCACGTGTGAGAGCGTGGGTAGCGGGTCACGTGTGAGAGTGTGGGTAGCGGGCCACGTGTGAGAGTGTGGGTAGCGGGCCACGTGTGAAAGTGTGGGTAGCGGGCCACGTGTGAGAGTGTGGGTAGCGGGTCACGTGTGAGAGTGTGGGTAGCGGGTCACGTGTGAGAGTGTGGGTAGCGGGCCACGTGTGAGAGTGTGGGTAGCGGGCCACGTGTGAAAGCGTGGGTAGCGGGCCACGTGTGAGAGTGTGGGTAGCGGGTCACGTGTGAGAGTGTGGGTAGCGGGCCACGTGTGAAAGTGTCGCGTCCCTTCGTGTGTCGTCAATCAAAGGGATCTTCGGCAGTAGCTCGGTGCTAGTAACTTCCACAGGCCGTTCCCAAAGCCAAGACATTGAATGTATTCTTCACCACATGACACGACTCTGATGGCAAAAGTTGAACGAAAGGCATTCGATAACGATAATGATGAATTATTAGAATGACAATTCTCTTGATATTTTTTGGAAGCTGTATTTTATTCGTACTGGCTCAGGGCTGGGATTTCTGCGCTCGGAGAGCAACGGGCTTCATCGCGATGCCGCCCACCCCGCGATTCCTGACGCCAGAAATAATATTTTTTAATCTAGATTTTCAAAGGACATACAGAGCTCCAGTGGCTTCCTAATAACTCTGCCGGCTGTCGGAACGTCCTACGATGCTGTTGCTGGTCAACCTCCTCTCTCTCTCTCTCTGCACCCCACCCTCCCCCACCTCTTCCTTCCACCTCTTCCTCGGGCCGGCTGCGTCCCTGTCTCTCTCCACTCTACCGAGCCCCCCACGAAACCAGTAGTGATCCTAGCGCAACGGGGGGTGGAGAGGGGGGGGGCACGGGGGCACCTGCCAATGAATAGAATCCTCGTGAGCCGACAGACGAGACGCGGAACGAAACGATAAAGTACGGCAGTGAGACGTGCGCACGTACGCTGAACTTTCCTCACCGCACGGTAGCCGACACGTGAAAGTGTGGGAGCACTGCGTTGTGAACTTTTCTCACCGCACGGTAGCCGACCGCGCTGATCGGAGGCGCGAGATACAGAAGTGGAGACGAGATGCGATACATTGCGAGACGAGAGTAGAGACACAGCGCGATCAGCACAGAGAAGAAGAGAGAGAGAGACTTTCTTTTTGTGTTCATTATCCAAAGCTACGTTTATTAGGAATTCAAATTGAGACGATATTTGATGTCGCCTCCCGTTTATGTTTTAATGAATCCGGAGCCCCCTTGGGCTGCTTGGGGCTCTCACACTTGCGCTTTGGTTTGCCTTAGCGCCACCACTATCCCACTTTACCCCCTCCCCCCAACACCAATCATCACCTATACCTCCCAGCGCAATGCCCTCAACGTGTCCACTGCTCCTTGCGATGCGATCGGTCGCACTTGGATTATTAGTGAAGTCTGGTTTAGTATCATTTGTCTATCCAGGGGAGCCACGTCTGAGTCGCATGCCTCTTTATCAGCTGCTGCTACATTGGGCGTTTTATTTATTTGTAAGATGGTTTCAGTTGGTTAATGATGAGTTGTGTTCGTTCAACGCTTTGGGAGAAAACCGGAGCGCCCGGAGAAAAGCTCACACCTTGCGCGAGGGGGCAACACTCAATCCCCGTGAAGCGGCGATTAGTCCACGCGTTTCTGTACACGCCGTCTCCCGGTGAGCCCGGGTTATGGCACCGCCACGACGTCCTCCCGCCGCGAGGGAGTTTCATAACATCTGTGCGTGATCCACCGACCCCTCTCGCTGCTGCCTCCACAGTGCTGGGTTACAGGCCACGTGCGGCATAGGCGAGACCGCTTGGCTGTGGAGCACTGCATTGTGACCGCATTGTGCCCTCAGTCGCCCCATGGCACCCAAGCCGGTGCCAGAATTGGGGCCGTGGCAGCGGGTTTTTTTTTCCATCTGCATTCGAGTCTCCTCCTTCTTCTTCTTTCGTACGGCTCCTGATGATGAAAGATGCGGAGCAGCAACCCACAATTTCACATTCGGGTGGTTAAGCCAGACAACCGCGTCAGCAGGAGCAGCGGGGTTAGTGGACCGTCGCCGTGATGTCTCCTTCGTACATTTGTGGACCGGGGCATCGCGTCGTTATACCATGATTCGCTCCCGTTCTGGGTGACCACAGTCGTACACTACTACTGGAGGGTTTTTTTATTTTCCATTTGCGCATCGGGTATCAGCATCTGCTGCCATGGTGCGTGCGGACGCGATTTAGGGTGGACCGTGAGCTTCGTGGAAGATCAAACCCAGGGATCTTCTGTGTTGGCTCTTTCCGAACCAGGTGATTCTTTGTGAGTTCTTTTGAACTCCATTCAGCTCTCCAGGCTTCATGCATGCGAGGGACGCGGCCCAGCGACGGCGCATCCGTCGCTTGCCGTCGCAGAGATTCGCGGTTCGAATTCCAGCGGCCACCTCGGTTAATAGCCCGGCGGCGGTAGCACGTGGCCTGTGATCCCCACCACTGCAAAGGCAGCGAGGGTTGGCGAATCGCCGCACAAATGTGTCGAGGCTCCCATCTTCCCGCGGGCATCGAGGAGGCGTCGTACCCTGGCTCGCCAGAAGAAGGCGGTAGAGTACAGCAAAAATTGTGGACCTCCACCTGTTCCGTCTGGATGGGATAGAGAGTTTCTCCCTCGCACGTGCGGGTTTTCTCCGGGTGCTCTGATTTACTCCCAGATATGAACACTCATTGATCGGCCAATAAAATCTTAAACCTTTCCGTTCTGAGACGTCTGCAAGTTGCAGGGTGTGGGTCCCGTTCGCCGCTGAATCTCGGAACGTGCGAGCAGCTCAGGACTAATTTTATTTAGAGATGCGTAGCGCCACTGTTTATAAAAAAAACGTTGTACTCACCGCAGAGAATCATATCGACGCAACCGCAATCTACAATATAGCTGCCACAAAACTGTGCCACACGCCCTCACGCGTGGCCTTGTGGGAGCTTCGGTGTCCCGATAAAGTTATTTTAGTTTTTTTTCTTCTGAATCTGTTCCGATGACGTATGGTAGAGATACGTACACGTACGTCATCGGAACTGAATCGGAAGAAAAACTGATGACGTACACGCACGTCATCAGAATGAGAAAAGGGTTCATATGTAGAGGACTGCAGAGCTTGGGCATTTGCCGCCTTCTCGCTCCGTTGTAGTTCCTCCTCGCGCCCTTGAGTCATTCTCTCTCTCTCTCTACGGGACCAAGCGAGTACCATGCGGTGTGTTACAAGTTTAAATTATTATTATTATTGCTAATACTTG